TGTAGCAACGTTTCAGCAGAATCTCATCTGCCATCATCAGACTTCTGTATAGTGTTCGAACACTATACAGAAGTCTGATGATGGCAGATGAGATTCTGCTGAAACGTTGCTACAACTTTAAAAGCACAACTATAATGACGTGGGAAAATACCCAAACAAAGCTGAATGCCATACATATAAATACCCGTGAAAACTTAAGAATACATACATACATACATACATACATACAGTATTAAGAATTGTTGAAATTAATTTGTTAATTCATTAAATTACATATATGTTGTAGAATATATAATCATTACAGAGCAAGTAACTATTTAGTCATATGTTTTCTGTCAAAAGATTAAAAAAACTTTTATCAACAATGTAATTATGCTCTAGGTAGTGCTTACTCACACAGTAAATACTTCTTTTCCAGATTTGCTTATCACAGCAGTATTTGGTTTTGTAAAAAGTTTACATAATTAATTATACAAGCATGTAAATCAGGAGTTGCCAACCTTTTGGACCTCAGGGACCACCAAACTCATAATTTTAAATTCCACGGACCAGAGACCCTGGTAAAATTCCAAAAAACTGTCTGCAGGAAAATGCCCCACCCCGTTTTCCTACCAATCGATCATTCTTTATTTGGAATCACAGGATACCATCTCCAGCTCTATTCTCGGGTGTGGGGGATGGAGAGTGGGGAGACTTTTGGCTTCATGCAAGGAAAGCAGCAGAAGCAGCAGAAGTCTTTCTTTCCCTCCCCCAAACTTTGCCAGAAATGAGTCTTTGTGAGACTTGTCGTGCTGGCGCAGCCTCTTGGAGCAGGATGCCTTGCAGGGTCCCAAAGACTCATTTCTGGCAGAGTTTGGGGAAGAGAAAGAATGACTTTTGCTACTTTCCTTGTGTGCAGCAGCCCGGTGGCCAGGCCAGCTGCATGGGGGTTTTGGGGCAAGTTTCCCCCTCTGCCATTTCTTCCCTCCCCTCACTACCTCATGTTGTTCCCAATGCAAGCAACACAAACCTTGTGTTCCCACAGGCCATGGGGGTGGTGCAGCCTTGTGTTCCCACGCAGCCTGGATTAATTGCTTTTGGGGGTGACATTTTTCTGCGGACCACCAAAATTTTCTCACAGACCACCAGTGGTCCCCGGCCCACTGGTTGGCGACCACTGTTCTAAACTAGCTTTGAGGTTTAGAAATTTCAAAATATCTGGAAAGTATCAGGTTGAGGACAATTGATGTACAGATAGTAGATAATTTCATTCGCTTTATAAAAATGACACAGCAAAATTGTTATTAATCATTAAATAGTAATGATACATTTATCAATATACAGGGCTACAAGCAGAGATGCAAAATTCAACGTCAAAATCATGGAACAATAATTTAAATATTGCATAGTTCCCATAATCCATTCTTTCCACATGTCCTATTTGTTCCATAATGATGTAATTGTAGTAACAAAATCTTATATGAGGTGGTGGTGATGATGATGATGACAGCAAGATGAATACAATAATTATTTTAAGAGCTATATTGTTATAAAGCTTGCTTTTGACATATAGTGAATTTGCCTAAATTCATCTCATTCCTTTTCAACTTTGTTCAGAAGAGTGTGACTACCTTTATTTGGTACATGATACATCAGAAGAAAATTACCTGCAGTAAAAGTCAAATTGTAGTTAACTATGTCAAAGTTCACATCTGCCTAATGCTTTAAAGGTAGTTTTGAAAGGTAAAATATGTTTTAGGTTTTATTTAACTATGGAGTAAAAACATATGTTAGCTGAGCATGAATAGGGACTGAGGGAAAGCATTAACACCTACCTGACAGTAAAGTAAAATTGGAAAAGGAGTTTTAGTTTATCTAATATTCTATCCTGCCACATCGTTATTAGATTGTAACAGTAAGTTCAAATTGGCAGAAAAGAGCTTGTATAATGTAAAAACAAAACAAAAGTTAGGAGTTCAAACAAAAATTAAATGGCAGTTAAAGGATTGGTTGATGCTTTGATCATAAGTCCAGGGCTTTTATGGCCTGATGACAAGGATTGGCTTTAACCTCATGTATATCTATATATAATTTTATTTCCTTAGGTTTGATGTAAAAAAGAATGAAAGAAGCTGAGCATGGGATGAATGTCTATCTGTGGAAACTGTTCAAATAACAGAATAAACTTATTAAGCATTGTATCTTCACTCTTTTATTATAACAGCTAGTTTGGTATTTGAACCAGGAGAATAGTCAGCATTTAATCTCCCTTAATGGCTCTCGTAGACAAGGATGTAAGAGCCAGTTTAATTTAGTGGTTAAAATACCAGGCTAGAAATCAGGAGATGGTGAGTGTTAGCCCTTCCTTAGGCACAGATCACCTGTTTTTCTTGTTTGTTTGAAGACAAGAGTCTAAAAACAGAAAATGTTTTGTTTAAAGAGGTACAAGTATGAGGTGGATGTGTCTGTTCTCATTATGATAATTCTAGCAATGAACAGAACAGAGGTTTCTGTCATCTTTCCTAGCAAAACAAATAAATGAAAATCAGCTTTAACAATATAATCTGTAACAAATATATGCTGATGAGGCTTTATCTGATAACATTTGTGGATATCTAACTAGAGCACAGTAAATAATCATAATATTTTTTTTCATGTATATTAGCTATATTAGTTTTTACAGAGACCCTAGGACTAGGTTGACATAAGATTTGAACAAGTCTTGGAACTTCACTTACCATTAATTGACAGGATTATATCCTGCCTTTCATTCTTCTAAGGATACTTAATACATGTATGTTAAGTCATCTGCAAAAAGAGTCATTTAAACAATACATTGTAGGGCACAAATGTGTAGTACCAATGTGTAGCAAATAAAATAGAGGGGAATAAAAAGGAAAACACTAAAAACTTTCAAAGCAAACACTAACGGTTCAAATAACAGTTCAGTTTGATAGTTGCGGTACAGAAATCTTTAAAATAAGTTGGAGATTGAGATTATGTGTTTATATTGGTGTGTGTGTGTGTGTGTGTGTGAGTGAGTGAGTGAGTGAGTGAGTGAGTGAGTGAGTGAGTGTAAGGAATAACTTATTTGCAATTCTATGACTTATTTGTTGCAAAAAGATCTTTACAAAGTCATAAAGTATACTCCTTAATGTAGGAAAATGTGGATGCTGTCCTGTTAGAAGTAACCATGGAATTCTTTAATACTAATAGAAACCACACTTGTTAATAAATTATTTGACCATTAAATTGATTTTTTGCATTTATTTTTTATTTGATATAATTAAATTTCATTAAGTCAGTGTTGACTCTTAGCTACCACATTTCCTCCAAGAGAATCTGTCCTTTATTTAGTTGGTGTAAATTTCTAACAACTCCCTGAAACCTTTACAAAACGCAAAGTTCTTTCTAGAGGGGTGACTGGCATTGGGAAAGAGGAGGAGAAACAGGAAACTTGTGTTTCCTCATTCTTCAAATTGCTTTCAGATTGTCTTTTTTCCTCTGAAACATTCAGGGAGATATAAAATATTATGTAGAAATGCTATACCAGAAATGCACCATAGCAGTTAATAATCCTTGACCTGGATTATTGGAAATGATTTAGAATTCTTTTGGATTTCACGTAAACAGAAACACACTGCCATTAATTAAAACAGCTATACACTTTTGCAAGTTTCTGCAAGAACATGAAAAATCATTCCACTGATTTGGAAAGCTAAGTCATTAGAAACCTCAAAAATATAGCTGCTTTAATTAAAGGAAAAGAGGAAATATTGTACATCTTCATAGTCATTGTAGCTCTGGTTCATAAATTTAATGATATTTTACTTACATTAGATTACTCACTATTTTACTGAATTGAGCTTAATGTAAATGCAACCAAAGCTATATCATTAATGGCAGATTAGCGTAAACAGTTACTAATTTCTCTGAAAAATAATGGGCACAATAACAGGAATGATTTTAGAAAAGACAGCTATTGGCAAGATTTTTGCCTATTATTTATAGCAAAAGATACCTTTGACTCTTTCTGAATACCAATATAGATGTTAGTTCTTCTAGAAATAAAATGGACATAATATTTTAGATTATATTGCATTCATGATTAAGGTATTCAGATTTGTATGACATTTGGTTGATAAGAGAATTTAAAATTAAATCAAGAACAATTTGTATGATTTCTTTTCTATTAAATCCAATATATATTTAAACTAAATATATGTAAATATTTCCATTTCTCTTGTTTGTTTGTTTGTTAAATTTATTTGTCACCTATTTCTTTAGTCCATAAAATACCTCCACATATATCTCTGGAGTTTATTGTAAGGAGACATTTTGCATTAATCATACTGTGATCTTGTTTTAGAATAATTCACATGCCTGTATACAAATATTCAGCATACATAGCTGTGCTGTTTTTCACAAGGTCTGAGGTGATAATAGCTTAATTCTTGCTTCATTTTTTCTGCTTTTGCTCTAGTAACTCTAGGCTGACCTTGTCTATAATCTGATGACCTGGTATTGCACTCAGCTATTTGGAAACTGTTCTTGCCATAGTTGACCCTGAGGGTGGTATCTGGAAGACCACTGATCCATTGACCCATGTCAAGAGTGGATTTAGAATCTGATACACTGGGCCTCTAACATCGTTAACCACTGGGGCCAATGCACAGAATGTGGTTTTCTGCTTATTAAATAGAAAGTAGTTTTCACTTGTTGGAAGAAAGACCAATTTTACACCATTTACTTGCAATGAAATCATTTCCTAAAGCAATTACAAATATTAAGTCTTTTCATTCATGAAGTGTTTGTTAAAAGAAATTGATAGAATTCCCAGAAGAATTAATTGCTTTCCCTAATCTGTTTTTGTAAACATTTTATAATGTTTTGTTATGGTAAATATTAACATCAGCAAATAAAATATATTTTCTACCTTGAGAAATATGTGAAACAGACAAATAATAATAACATATATTTATTATTTTTATTTTCTAGTTTAAGTGTGGTACACCACAATGTAATTAGAAGAAAGATAGCCCTACACTACTGTACTCTCAGTATAACTGACAGCTATGATAAAATCTTCATATTGTACATTCTGTTCAACTGTTTGGATATTTAATCAGTTTCAATTTGAATAGTTTATTTTAACATTTTAACATATCAAATTAATAATGCCCAGTTTTTTTTAATAATCTGAAGCATTTCTTATGAGTATATAAAATAAAAACATGACAAAGTTCAACATTATTAAGAATCTTAAGTATCTTGTAAAATAGTTTTATATTTATATTATTTAATATTTTCATTTAATACCTAATGCCTTAATATTAATATTTTCAATTTCTATTAACTTTTAATTAAAAATGTAACTCTTGCCCAGTCTAAAGAAGCATAGGGACAATTAGTTTCATTAAGATGTAAATATTTGTCCTCATATTTTTAAAATAATGCAATTCAGCATTATGTTTGAACTTAAATAAAATCTATCCAGTCTTTAACTATGATTTTTTTAATAACAATTTTAATTTATGGGTATAAAATTAGTTCTGTCAGTAAACTTGATTTACATAAATTACAGAGTATAATTTAAGAACAGTACCATGTGGCAATCAAGAGAAAGCAATTAATTTTTTATATTTTTATAAAAAATATAAATATAAATATTGTTATATTTATAACAGAAAGAAATCTGCCTGCAAGGATCTGTCATGTAAATCTAAATCTTAGTATTAAGACTGTTGTATGTGTTTATATACAATACCCATCTCTTAGATGCGTCACATGGGATAAAAAGATAGTATTACAATAAAAAAATATATCTTCCTAGTGCTATTTTCTTATGTCCCTACTAGACCTCCTGAAACAGATGTAAGTGGTGCAGTGAGTTGCCAGAATAAGAGTATTATAGAAAATCAAATACATACCCTGATTCCATTACCAGAATTTTGGAGAAACTAATGTCCTGTAAAATGGAGTTTATAATGTGCAGCTCTTAATGTGGCATCATAAATTTCAAAATAACTTTTACATATGAGAACTTGGTTGGGGTCATTTCTTAAAATACATATATTTTATTGAAATAGAAAACAGCAATTCAAATAAATTTACAAAGAATAAACTTCTAGTTATAATAAATCATAATTGAATGAAGTTGATGATCATAGAATAAATCTTTCACAAAGTGAGAAAGAGCTTTTGGATTCAAACCAACTGATTAGTCAATTGTCTCAATTAATTATTATTTTTCCACCCTTCTATATATATTATATTTTGTCTGACACTTCTTTAAAAAGTTATCCAGCAATTAAGTATCTTTACGGCTAATATTGATAAGGAGACTGCTTTAATAGAAGTTTACTCATTCTAAATGCTTTACATTATCATTGCAGTAGCCAATTTTCCTAAAAATTGGTGCCACCATTAACTTCCAGTTACACACTTAAGTTTGCAATACTTTATTGTTGTATACATAATATCAGTGCATCTTATAAGAACTCATTTGCTAACTTGAGTATGTTACTCCGTGCTGCTTACACAAGCATAGCAATTTTCTGCCTAAGCAAGGGGTTGGACTAGACTACCTCCAAGGTCCCTTCCAACTTAGTTCTTCTAGTCTAGTCTTTAGTATCTAGCATCTTAAAGGAATATGAGCTGATCATTTAGACACATTTTTCTGAATCTGCTTTTGAAATCAGATGCAGAATATAATGCTACACGTTTACAATATACTTTAATTTAGTGTGTATTTAATGTTTTTAAACATTCTTTAAAACAAAGTTAAAAATATATTATGGGTTTGAAATGTTACAGTTTCCATTATTTTAAAGAATACTAAAATTTAGTGCTTTAATTTCAGACTAAACTGTGTTTAGACACTTAAACATACTTAATATTCTTTCATTCAACATTTCAAATATGCGTTTATTTACCACTATGAGCAAGTTTTCTGTAACATTTAATACATGTAAAGTGAAAATATTATTCTATATGCATAATGAAAGTACTTTCCATTGCATTCACTATCTCTTTTAAGTGAGTGACTTCTATGATAACCCAATTTATTACATGTCACTGGTTTTCATTTCCATATAGGAGCTTGTTCCTGAATTTTATTATCTACCTGAGATGTTTGTCAATTTCAATAATTACAATCTTGGAGTGATGGATGATGGAACAGTGGTGTCTGATGTTGAACTTCCACCATGGGCCAAAACCCCAGAAGAATTTGTTCGCATAAATAGACTGGTAAGATAACAATCAACTATTCATTGTGTTAAGATATGAGCTTTCTAAAAAAAAAAAAAAAAGTAATTTTAACCATGCAAAGCTGCAGTTTATGTAGCTTGGAATAAAAACAGTTATTTTAGGAGACTGGGAATCTCTAAAGTTTGACATTTATTTTTAATTTAAATATTGGTGCTAATTATTAATCATATCACTAAAATGGTAAAATATGTTAATAGCATTAGCAGAGCTTTTATTAATGTTTTCATGTAATTATCGTCCTACTACTTCTTCCTAATACTTTTCAATTCAATGTTTAGATTCCTTATGATACCTTTCCTGGCTTCTCAAAATTTAGCTATCATTAAAATTATTTAAGTCTCTAGTAGAATACTGAAAGTTACTTCAAATGTATATATGTTTACATAACTCATTAGGTATTATATTGCCACTTAAGAAAAAAAACTATAATGGAACAATATTTTAAAATTTTATTGAAAGCGTACGGTATACAGATACATGAAAACGGTTCATAAGGGGGACTTCCGGTTTGCAAGCTTTCGGCGGTGGCAGGGATTCGCAACCGCGCGATCCCTGCTGCGTTCGCCGCCAAGGTTCCCCCAATCCATTTGGATCTGGGGGATATAGCTGCCCCGTAGAGGCAGCTGAAGACAGGGAGGATCCGGCAAGGGGCTTGGGGGTGCCGCAAACCCCCTCCCCAGATGGCTAAACCCCCTTTTCCCGAGGCGGAGGAACGGCGGTCAGCAATGGCCACCACGAAGAAAGCTGCAGCCGGACAAGCAGGTGCAGGAGGGAGAAAGCTGGAAGAACAGTGAAAGTTGCTTCTAACCGGGACAAGATGGGAGAAAGTGACCTGGAACCTTGAAAGCTGCTAAGTATATATTGTTCCTTGTGAGAGTTACAAGCTGCGAATACACTAAAGGGGAAAGTTTTTTTCTTTGTTCTACTCTCCTTCCTAAAGTGACAGCGGAGAAGAAGAAAAAACCTTTTTGGCTGTGAGTGGGAAGGGAGAGGGGAAAAAATTGGAGCAAAATTTGAAAATAAGGAGAAGATTGCCTAGAATTGCAAAGAGTTGTTAAACATTAAAAAACTTCCAAAAAATATATTTGAAAAGGATTTGTGATTACTTTAGCCCCAGAAAAAGAAAGTGAAGAAGAAGAAGGTATTTAAAAGAAACAGCCTGTTTGGATTGTTTGGTGATTTTGGAACCTTTGAGAATTACTTCTGATTAAAACATCTGGGTGGTTGTTTGGAAAAAAAAATTTCTCTACACAATGGCATCATCTGTGGATGGATTGAAACTTATATATCAAAAATATGAAAGAGAAAAACAAGGAGGGAAAGATGGTCTTGGCACTATTTTTCAATACTTAGAAATGGCGGTTTATACTTATGTGAAGCAGGATGATGGGGACAAAGAAGAAGAAGAAGCCATCTTTGATGAACAAATGACTTTGATTGGAAAAAGCAAGAGAAAAAGGAAAAGAGGTCTTTAAGATCTGGAAAAACAGCCCAAAAAGAGAAGAATAAGGTGAAAAGGGGACATTATGTTAAGAAACAACAGAAAAGGGGAAAGCAGAATAAAAGGGAGGTGGAGAGACAAGGGGTTAAAGAGGACAAGGAGAAGAAGAAGCAAGAGAGAAAGGAAGGGATGAGAAGCCCTAATGGTGGGGAGCAAGATGTTAAGAAGCAAAAGTTTTTTAGAGATAATGGATAAATTTTATTGTTAAAGGGATTCTAGAAAGGTACATAAGACTGCATTTTTATACTTGTATTTAGAAGTAATCATAGAAAATTAGAAATAATATGTAACTTAAAATGTGATAAAATATTTAACATAAACTAGTGAAATTTTTGTTAAGAAAAAGGGAGTACTGTAATGAAATATGATTTAAGATTGTGATGTGGGGGGGGGTAATAATTTTTGGAAAGCATAAGCGTTCCCACAAGGGCATGATATTTAATTGAAATGGATAAAATGTTTAAGATATAAATGATTGTTAATATTAATGATTAGAATAATGGTATATTAGCGAATTTTTGTGTGAAATGAGAGATTTGAAGTAGAAGAAGGAAGAACGTTTTAATGAAATATTGAGCTATAATATGTGATGTGGGGGGGGGAATAATCATGGAAAATAGGGCTCCCATAAAAGTATGTGATTTAATTGAAAAGCAATGAGTTAAATGTTTAAGATATGAATATCAATACTAATGAATAGATTTGTATTATTTTTGATAACATAGTATAATTTTAGAATGTACCAGACAGAATCCCAATGTATGTCATGTGTTTTATATTAAGTATTATAAATATAGGGGAAAGAGATAAAGGCATCATACTCCATATAGTGTACAGGAGAAGTCTTTCTTCTTTTTTTAAAGAAGAAAAATAAATGGTTGGCTGGAATAGAACAGACAAAGAATAATAAATATTATGATACAAATTGAGAGGAGATAAATAAAATAAAATAAAATTGAGAAAATTTAAAGGAGAGGAGAAGTCATATAGAAAATTGAAAATGTTAATAAGATATGAAATGGTATTTAAAAGGAATATGAATTTGAATTTGTGTCTGTACCAAGAGTTATAACCCGGGACTAAGCAACTTTCAGAAAAGAGATTTTTTATGCTTTTATGTTTTGTGTTTATGTGTATTTATGTATTGTTTGTCTTGAAAATAAAATTTGTTTTTTAAAAAAAGAAAACGGTTCATAAGTAGGTTTGTGCCCAGTAAGGAACAAGGGTCCACCAAGAAAAGGGTCAAAACCAGAACTGAAATTAACACATGAGACTTTCTTGTATATACAATACTACACAATGTCTGACTTGTGTGGATCCTGGAGTACTTCGTTTCGTTCCCTTTTACCCTGCTGTCATATCTTGGCCAATGATAGTATCTATTTAGAAAAGCAATCCTCAGAAATCAACAATTCAAAGACTTTCTTTATAATTATATAATGAATTTCACACAATTTACTATACAAATATTTCAAAAATGTTGTGTTCCAATGTAAAAATGATATTCAGCCATTTTACTGAAACAAAGCAGGTATGTACTGTATTTAATCACTACCTGTACAATGTCTATGTTTAACTCCAAAGTACAGGAAAATTGATAGAAGTGAATGTGACAGTACATTTATGGTGTACAATTTAGCTTGATTTTTTTGCTATGTATACTAATTATACATAGCTATTAGCAAGGTGACAGTACGTATGTATGTAGGCATTTTCCAAGTAACATCCTGAAAATATAGTCCAAATAATTATGTATTCAGAGTTTAATTTTAATATTATATAAATAGATGGTTGTCTGATTACAAAAAAATGTAAGTAAGGGAAATATATTCCTTAAAAAAGGAATATTTTGACCAAATACATTCACTACTAGATCTGTTTCAAAAATAGAATGCAATTAATGAGATAATTATAAATTATTATGGTCCTTTTAAGTGGTAATTTTATAGGGTACAATGGGCAATTTCCCCCCTTTCAATACACAGTACAGATTTTTCTGCAGTGATTGGAAATGCATGCTGCTTTGATCTGTGACCTTTTTGTGGTGCTAATCGGGTTCCTGATATCATTATACCTTGCTCATTAATCATATTTTCCTCCATCTCATCAGCCAACTAAACAGCCCGAGCCTCTGTTTCAGCCCTGTGCTTGGCAAGCTTCTGCTTTTCCAGATTATTACACTGTGATATTTTGGCTGCTCATAACCAGACCCACATCAAGCTGTGTACTACAATTAAAGTCAGATGGTCCTTATGGTGAATGGGGAAATAGTATTGCAGCTGTCTGTCTCTTATTGGAATAGTCCAGCAAGAGAAACAGATGATATATAGAGCAGTATATAATAACAAATTGTATAGTACTATGGCAACAGTGGGGATATATAATGCTAATTGTTAATCATTGTTATTTTAATATGACTGTTAAGATAGCATACATTATATGTGATTTTATTAAAATCCATTCATTTTGGTCTGTTTTTGAACAAGGATGAAAGGGCAAAGATAATTCTCTTTAAATACAACTTCTAAATTAAAATAATAGAGGAACACAAAAGAGAAATCGTGAAAGCTGGCAACAGTGGAAATAAAAATATCCAGTTTTAAAGTAGAAGACTATCTACTTTATAGGACATTAATTAAATGTCTGTAGAACAAAAGTGTTCAATTAGTACTTGAAAGTATTGACAAATGAAAGTTAAAGATTTCTATAAATTCTGGAACTGTATCAACCATGTTCTGGAATAGGTTATTTCTAAAACCAATTTATATTCATATGTCCATCCAATGAGGCTGAATAGTGTCACCTGTCTCCAGGTCTCAATTTATATAGGAATGTCTTCTTATAGGACCTCAGGGCATGCTATTTCATATACAGATGTATACTGTAGGTATATTTATTTAGAACTATTAGCTTTCTGTTTCCAGCATATAATTTCAGTCTTTTCTTTGTCAGTCTTTTCACTGGTGAACTGGCAATGTGAGGGTTTGTTTTGTTTATTTTTCAGGCTATTGCTGTTGATAGGTATTAGTTGTGTGGAGCTGCTCTCTGCCCTACAAAATCATTCGTTCATTCAATCAATCAATCAATCAATCAATCTTCTATTGATTGAAATATACCAAAGTAATGAATATATATGTCAGTTTCTAACTCATTAAGGGTAGGGAGGCTTACTATGAAGCATGCATTCCTATATCTCATAATTTAAGATTATTAATGCTGGTAATTAATTATTTATTACCAGAATTTTAGTGATCTTAATTGGGAAGCAAGATTTCAGAGGAAAATGTGTGGGCATCATGGGCATATTTTTTCTCTATATTAGACTTTTTTCTATATATTGGCTTCCTATGTATATTCAGTGTGAAAAAGAGATTGGGATTTTAAACTGTACATATACAGGCAAACTTTATATCATAATATCTGGTAGGTTGAATTGGAAAGAGGTTGCTGTATCATAAGATTGCAATGAAGATGATGA